AAATGACATTCTTTTGTGGTGATAAAATTGCACTGCTGTTAGACAGTATGGAAAACACACTAAAATCCAGAACTGTCTATACATTAATGGGAATTTTATCTAAATATCAATTATAAATAATCCATAATTATAAAAAATAAAACATTTCCAAAGTCTTCTAATTTGGTCAAATACAGACTTGATCTGGAATGGTAAGGGAGCGCTGGGATTCGGGAATGCTTGTAAGAAGCGTCTCTTTGTTTTCCAAGGTGCGCTCACAGATTTTTATGAGGAAATGAAGTGATGGGTAGGCTGTAAAAAGCAGTGGGCTGCAAAAGCTTCAGTCTCATCGTTCAGCCATGCCCAGAGGCCCTAGGGAAGTGGCTCTCCCTGTGGCCTGTCTGTGAGACGCTGTAAAGTGACTGTCTGCGTCCCGGTGGCTTTTGTTTGGAGATCATGGTCAGGCTGAGCTCGTTTAAAATACCATTCCCAGGGCTTACATGCTACTCCCTGAACGATGGGAATTCTCAAAGCTTTTAGAGGGATAAACTACTGAATGGTCTCTGACTACAGACAGGCCACAGTTCACTGGAAACAGCCAGTTCAGATAAATAAAATGAGGGCAGACACTTCTGGAGATGGTTTTGAAAGCTTTCCATTAGAGAACAGCCAGGCATCAAAGAGGAGCAGCATGTGCCCATGCTACGACCGGCACAAGCCAAACTCTCCTGTCTTCTGAGGGACATGCTAGAACTTAATGACAGTGTCCAATCCAAGAAAACAAAAGGCAGAGGAACAGGAATGGAGTGGTGGGGCAGCTGAAGGAGGCACCCTGTCCTGCCAGCAGGAGGAAGGCACTGTCATGCCCCCCAATCTTGGTAAGAAAGGAAAAGGAGCATAAGGGAGCTACGTGCAGAAGACGCGCTTGATGCACAGTTTCCTAATTTGATATGCACACAAAACTAAATAAACATATTAATAGGTTTGTTTAATATAAATATAAATTCTAAAATGCAGAAAAGCTAATTTACACACTTTTTTTTGTTAAAAGTAATATATCAAAGATTGTAATAAGAGCCCAGTATTTTATTTGGGAATAAGTATTTGGGAAAATCCAATTCAAGATATACTATTCCAATGTATGGCTATTTCCAAGACAGATTCTAATTTGAGAATAAAGTCTGGTTAAGTTCAACTAGATAAAATTATTACTTAGGGCTCTGATGATAAATATCAGAATTTATTTAGTTATTTTATTGCATTTTCAATAAGTTCCTATTTAAAAAGGTCAACTAATTATCACTTTGTTACTCTATGTCTTCTGAGTTCTTGAAAATCTTCTATATGTATTAAGTAAAACAAGAGGACCCCAAGGATGGCAGTCCTTCACGTGAAAGGGTGCACACTGCTCAACCTGCTGGAGGAGCTGTGTGCTCGGGGCAGCTACGCAGCACTGAACATAGGAGAGCAACAAACGCGACGCTCACAGCAGCCATTTGAGTCCCATAAAATCAGAAGGAATTCTACACTAGGCCAGCTGAGCCATGATGCACTTTCCTGTGCAAATATCTCCCCAGCTGTACCATCCATCAGAGTGAACCTGTGCCTGAGACCATATTGTTATAAAACCCAAACATACACACGGATGCATTATATGCTGTGAGCTAAACTGTTCTCAGTGGAAGTAGGTCTGTGAAAGCACAAAGAAAATCACCAGGAAAAGATGATTTTCTAGAGAACCACCTTACTTGCTTGAACGCTGGGGTGAAATTTGAAGACCTGGCATTTTCTGCTGCTCTGGACTAGCATGTCTGTCAGAAGAACATGCCCCGGCCCTGAGAAGAGCCACAGAAGCGTAGAATTCTGAGAGCTGCTTTCATCTACTCAATGGATATTAGCAATAAAACTTTAATGTTGAAAGAATTGTAGTATACGGTTACACTATTTATTACACAAAGCCATAAATGTGAACTATATACCTAGACACAGTATCTTTTAAAACACTTATGCATTTATTTTGTGTGTATGAATACAGGTGGACACAGGCCCCTCCATGTGTGAAGGCCAGAGGACAACTCTCATGTTTTCTACTCACAATGTGTGGGACCTGGGGACCGAAGCCAGGTCATCAGGCTATGTGCTGAGCTGTCTGCCATCTGTGCATCCTTTCTCAGTAACGACATTTGCTCTGCAGAATTATGTTTCATTTTGAATATGCATTTTAGAAATCCTACAAGTTCTGTAATTTTCCTTGGAGATCTGGAAAGAGCTATGGAGGTTCTGAAGAGCAAACAAGAGACTTTTCTGCCTCCACATAGTTTGGTGGCAATAAGCTAAAGACTGAGAGGCTAGGTCCCTGTCCACAGATGTGTGTGTGGTTCCCTGTCTCCGCTGGCATCTGAGTGTCAGTTCTCCACACTGCCCCTGGCAGGGCTCTCTGTCCTAGCGCTGACTCTCAGATCTGCCCTTGCTTTCCTCAAGGGCAATGCTGGCTTCTCTGGAAAGCATGCGAGACTGGATGTAGGATGAAGGTGGGGTGGGACACCAAACACTATTACACCTTAGAGAAGTGAGTGGGATTTGTTTTAGCATGGCACCTATTTAAGGTCTATTCCTAACATGCTTAGTAATATGTATTTTAAAAGGGTCCTAAAAAGACAGCGGTGGATGAAAGGGTCTAAAGCTAAGCAACAGGTTCCCAAGGGCTGGTGAGAAGCTAAGAGGGTATTCTGAAAAAGAAATAATGTACTGAGCTGGAAGTCTCAGGCACTGATGGCGAAGTTGGCGAGGCACCTGGACCCGGAGCTGCAGAGCGTGCCCAGAAACAAAACCAAATCCAGCAAGGACCGCGGGACACAGGATGTACCGTGACCAGTGACGTTAAAAGAAGCCGAATGACCTGCTCTGGAAATGGCTGAGCTGTCTATGAGTCAGAGGATCAATGGCTAGGGCAAAGTCAGACTTCGCTGTCGGGTCAGGACATACGAAGAGTGACACACAAAGGAGTGCTCAGAGCTACAGTGTGAAGACAGCATGCGTGAAACTTAAAAAGCACACAGCTGAGTCTGCTCAAGTGGCTTTCCAGAGGGTTGTCACACCTAAACCCAGAAGTTAAGCGGCACAGAAAGAACTAGCTGGCAGTGTCAATTTTTTTTTTTTTTTTTTGGTCACAATGCCTATATTAATACCAAACATGGCTTTTCTTAAAAGTTTTTTAGGTTTTAAAATATTTTCTGTGCATTTTCACAGTGTACATTCTTGTCTGCACACGTCTGTGAGCACGAGCGGATGTATGCGTGGAGGAGAGGCTGATTTAGGATGCCGTCCTCAGCTGCTCTGTGTTGACACAAGGTCTCTCGCTGAACCTGTCAGCATTCAGGTCAGTGGGCTCACCAATGCGCTGCTGGCGTCTACTCGTCTCCCACATGTTGGGATACGTGCTGACACATGTGGCTTTCACGTGGAGCTAGTGAGCCACACTCAGGTCCCTCTGCTTGCCTAGCAGACTTTTTGTTGATGGAAGCATTTCTCCAGCACCAGAGTTCTGACTTACAGGATAATTACATGGATTTTAATACTAGATTTTACTACTGTATTTTTGGTTTTTTGACACAGGGTTTTCTCTGTGTAGCCTTGGCTATCCTGGATTCACTTTGTAGACCAGGCTGGCCTCAAACTCAGAGATCTGCCTGCCTCTGCCTCCCAAGTGATGGGATTACAGGCCTGCACCACCACTGCCTGGCTCATTCTTTTTACTGCTAACATTTTGGAGATGTAGGGTAGTTTAACACAGAAGGTAAAGGCCCCGCGCGTCTTCAGTTGCAGGAGGGGGGATTCTAAGAGTGCTCATGCCTCTAGTGTGTCAGCCCAAACACTGCTTCCCTCTTAGTGAAATGAGTTACACAGTAGTTAAGACAGTTGTCTACCAGTGTTTCACCAGGCATGCTATACTGTGGGGAAGCACAGCTATTGACACTTTGTCAGCGACCAAAGTCTTTACACATTGCATCAAGTAGAAAAATCTTTTAAAAATTAATAAGATATTTTCATGAACTGCCAATTCAACTGGAACTCTGAATAGTAGAAATAACAAAAGATTTGTTCTTAGGGTTGATTAAAAATTTATATCAGAGCATTCAAGTAAAGTTATTTTCTGTGTTCTGATTTAATGAATCCTCTGAGTTGTATCTGTCTGAGTGACACAGATTCTGGCTCACTGGAGCCTATGCTAATCCTTCCCACACAGCCTTCTCGGGATGGGGAGGCACATGTCAGACCAAAGGACTATCAAAGAGAGAGCGAGCAGGGCTGGAGCCGCCACGAGGCCGACTCAGAACATCCCGTGACCCACGAGCGGCCGAACGTTTCCAATTGCCTATGGGCTCCGGTGACCTAGCAAACACCTGGCAGCAGCAGAAAGCAGGGTGAGCGGTCCTCAGAAGACTTCTCAGCTCAAGCTGAAAAATACTACACCTAATAAATGGCTTTAACCCTTTAAAAAAAAAAACAGCTTTAGAGGCCACCAGTGGTTCTTAAAAGGTGAGTGAGTTTTAAATGTTTCATGTACACTGTGTGTTTACTGCAGCTCCTTTAAACCTGTTCATTTAAAATGTACATTTACAAAATAAGTTACCCACCACTACTAAAGCCAAACTATATCCAACAATAAAATACATGTAAAAACGCAGATATAAAACAATGAAGCTCATCCAGTCTTAACAGGATACATGCTAACAATGGAATATAACACTTTCATAAATCTTGTAAGGTGGGATATTCTAACAAAAGATAAATCATATTTATGAGGAATAGATTATTGTAAGATGGTAGAGACACAGGAAACAATCACAGCTTCTCAAAATACGGTGTGGCCCTTTACATGGAAACTATCTCATTATATAAATGAGGAACGTAAAGCAGAAAATATGGAAATAGCATTCTTGAAGGCCGTATGCAAACGCAGTGGCTGTTTTCCCTAGCCAAACCATTCATTTAGAGGTAGAATCTGAGAGAGTACTTACAATGACAGCAACACCACAGCGATTAAAGTCCATTCCACGGGTTTGTGTATAATGTTTCTATTTGATAATCTGAAAGACATCAAGATTCACCCTTGAATTTTAGTTCTTGGTAAGAGTTATGATTTACTATGTCTAAGAGGTATTTGCAGATATCTGTGCTCTTTCTCGGGGAGACTCAGTAGTGCAATAAAGCAGCTGTAACTTAGGACTTGCCATTGACTGTCTCCCACCCAGGCTGTAACAGGCCCAAACCTGCTTAGCTTCTGCGCTCAGATGCAATAGCCGCCTGCCAAGGCTATGCATCGTAACACTCTCAAAAGGAAGCGTCCAGCCCCACCCTTAGACTTTGAGCAATAGGATCATTAGCTAGAACAGGATCATGAAGATAATGACGAAAATGAGAGTACATATATTAAAGCACCACCGACGTCCGTGATTTGTATCATCACTGAATGACACTACCAATAAGTCAGTTGCTCTGACCTTAGTTTCACCTGGTAATCTTGAGCACTTCGTGACTTGTGCTCGGGTGGCAGCAGGCACCTAAGGGATGTCAGAGTCTGAGTGCTAGCTCATCAAACTGTAAGAACAGGTCTTCTCTAGAGAAAAATTAAGTATTTGGCAATACCTAATAAGTCTTGAATACATATATGAGCAGCTTACATCTAGATATAAAGTCTAAAAAGTCTCTTTCACTTATGTATAATGATATATGGAAATTGCAACAAAATATTCCTTATAACAGAGGAAAATAAAGTGTAGCACAGTAGAGTCCTGAACACCCATTAATATAATGCTCTAGATTTATATGCACTAATTATAGCAAATACGACACACTCGGATGGCACAGGAGTGAGAACCAGACACGTGCTGGCTGCTTCAGTCCAAAGCACTGTCTTCCTCCAGTCCCTCGGAGACCCGTCCCCAGTCCCCTCTCCTGTCCTCCGGTTCCCAGCTTTCCTGCATGTTGTACATGTTCTTCTGCCTCATGCCCCCTCGTGGCTTCTGCCCATGACTGTTCTCTTGCCTGAGGGGAAGAGACCTGTATTCTTCACCTATTTAACCAAGGGCCCAGACAAGTCCCGGCAGCCAGGGGACACTCCAATCAGGATTTCTGCATCAATCATCCGATAGCTGTCTTATATAACATCAGAGAGAGTTGAAATCTCTTCACTCGCTTCTGTATCTGACGGTCTAGTTGACACACGCGGCATGAACACGTGTCCCTCACGCTCAGGCAGGGCTGAGTTTTCCAGTCTCCATCCCAGTTCTATGGCTCAGATTTTCCTCCTCTTGCCTTTGATTGCCTTCTCAGGCCTATCAGGCTGCTCAGTGACTATGTCAGGCTCACTCCTGTTCTCAGTTTTTTTCATTTTATTTTACATGAATGGGTGTTTTTTTCTGCACGTGTCTGTTCATCATGTGTGTGCAGTGTCCTCAGCGGCCACACGAAGGCATCGGATCCCTTGGAACTGAAGAGACACAGTTGTGAGCCACCACTTGAGTGTTAGGATTCAGGGTGGTGGTGCACACCTTTAATTAGCACTTGGGAGGCACAGGCAGGCAGAGCTCCATGAGTTCAAGGGCAGCCTGGTTTACAGATCAAGTTCTACACAAAGAGAAACACTGTCTCAGAAAAAAACCAAACCAAACCAAAAAACAAAACCCACCACCAACAAAAAAATTACTGCACCCTGTAAGTCATTCCAATCAATTCCATATATAATTTATACACATGCACACACCCTGAGTTTCTGCCCCCCTCCTTCCCCATTTCTCCCTCAGGCCCCTTTGGAAGAGCAGTTTCAGGTTTCGTATCTTTTTCCTTTCAGCATGTGCCTATGACGTGTGCTGACTGTGTGCTAGGGCACAGGTGGAGGTCAGAACAATTCTTTGGAGCTGGCTTCTTCCCCCTTTGTGTGGGCTCGTGTCGGCAGGCTTGCTGGGCAAGCACCAACTGTCTTGTTGGCTGTCTCCAGGCTGTTCCTTCTGTGCATTCCAGACAGTAGCAGCCTGCCCCATCTCCCCTTCGCCCTTCACTCCAATGCAGCTCACTGTTCCTTCCCCATCAGGCTATCTACATTAGCCCTTCTCGCCCTTCAGTACCAGCCTGCTTCTCCGTGCATGGAGGAAGTGGGGAATGTACTGAAAGAGAAGAGAGCATGGCTATGTGTAATTCAGTATGTGTATACTAGAACGTGCATACAGCCCTGCGGCCTGGTAAGTAGCATGAATTAACAGCTTTTCTTTTTGTTCACTCTCTACTACCAAATAAAATGGAACCCAGCAATAACCACAAAGAGCTTGAATAGCAGGGTAAGTGTGGACATAAAGAGGACAGGAAGTATAGTACAATCGCTCGTTTGGGTGGTGGTGGTGGTGGTGGTGGTGGTGGTGTGTGTGCGTGCGCACATGCAAGACAGGGTCTCACTATGTAATCCTGGGCTGGCCTAGAATGTACACAGATTGGCCTACCCCTGCCTCCAATTAAAAGTGTGCCCCATCAGGCCTAAAATTCTGGGGTTTTTTTTGTTTTGTTTTTGGTTTTTAAACCTCTCAGTTAACATATATTTAAGATTTCATGAGTTCATTTTGTCACTCAGGAAAAAAAATGTAACACGTGTGTAATCCATACCATTGTTCCAGGTACTGGGGGCATACACACAAGAGGCTGTTTTAGTCACTTTTCCATTGCCCTGACAATGTACCATGACCAAGGCAACCTCAAAGCCCACCCCAGTGATACACCTCCTCCAACAATGCTATACCTCATAACCCTTTCTAAAAACCTCCACCAACTAGAGAGCAAGTATTCAAAAACATATGTGCCCATGGGCGCCGTTCTCAATCAAACCACAGAGATTCTGCTTTTTTCTCAGGATTTCTATTATGTCGACAGGACATCAAAATTGTTTCCTATTGCTGATCCAAAGAATTTTTATTATACATGCTAAACATATATGTTTACCATGGTCTAACTGATGATTAAAAAACAAAAGGGGGTGGAGGGAGGCTCAGGGCTTAAAAACACTGGCTGCTCTTCCAAAGGACCAGGGTTCAGTTCCCCAATCCCATGCCATGTGGCTCACAGCCGCATATCACTTCAGTTTCAGGGGTCTGATTTTCTCTTCTGACCCGCACGGTTATTAGGCACACATGTTATTTAAAAGTAAGTCACATTAAAAAGTCTTGATTTATCATGGATGTCACTGACAGGATTTTAATGTATATCTCTCAGGCTAGGGCAGCCTGGGTGGAGGCTGCTCTGTGAGAAGGGAAATGCTAAGTCACAGCCTGCCTTGGATGGGCTGTGTGTGTGTGTGTGTGTGTGTGTGTGTGTGTGTGTGTGTGGCGGGCAGCTCTGTGCTCAAGCGTGAAAGTTCCCCAGAGAGCCCTATTAGGCTGTGCAGGCTGCACATTTTAATCACCTAGGGGGCTTTTAAGCTGCACTGCTGTCTGGGCAGAACCTGGTCTCCAGGGCCAAGCAGCGCACGTGTAGTTGTTAAATGGCTTGAAAATGGCTGTTCACAAGTTCTTTGTATCGTTATTTATGTCAACTTCTGCCCATTGGTCAGTACTGACTGAGGAGTTCTCCATGGCAGTCAGCACCAGCCACAGCGCATCTTTTCAGAGGAAGTATAGGTGAAGCTGAGGAGCCCTTCTCCCTCAGAGCATCTGGCATCTCCCTGAAGGCAGTCAGGGAAAGCCATCTTTACTAGAGCTGTACACTCTGACCCACAGTTTTTAGAGAAAAGACAACTTAGTGTTGCAGGAAATTTGACCCCACTGTGAACCCCAACACTGTGAACTATAAAACCTTGTTTCCTGCTTCAGCTCCTCAGCTCCCTGGCTTTTTGGGCCTTAAGCTAGCAAGCCCTCGGACTTGGGTTTTTTGGCCTTTTCCTCCTGGGCTGCCAGTTGAGCTAGTGAGCTGTTGGGTTTCCATTTGACCTGAGCTGAGATGGAAGGTCAGCTAGTGCTTTCTCTGCCTCTGAGCTAGCACGTTTTCACCCCAGCGCCTCACTCCTGAATCTTTATTGGTAAAACAGAGTGGTTGGGATTTTCCTTCTTTTAAACATTTGGTGCTCCAATGAATGACATGACTCCACAAACAGACCATTCCAGCCATGGACAAACTGAGAAGCCATCGGATTCGGTAGGTCATGTGGGAAGTCCTCCAGGAGACAATTAAGGATGGGAACTACCATAATGGAAGACTTTAGAACCCTGTTAATGCTACTCCAGGTGGCCTAAAAATAGAAGCATTAAATGAAAAGCTAAACAACATAACTCAAATTAGCTCAATACCAATTATAATTACTATCATTTTCTTATTTTTTAATTTATTCTTAATAGCTGATATGATTTTCTGTACTTGCTCTAAGAAAAAAAACTTTAGAGAAACAGGAAAAATAAAAATATGACAAGTGCATTGATAAGATACAAGACTAGAAGGAAAATTAGAGAGACTTATAAATGAGAATAAAAATACGCAGAGAGATTTAGACAAGCCTTAGAAAGACCTATAAATGAGAATAAGGAAAATTCTCGGACATAGACAGAGGACTTTAGACAAGAGCCCACCACACCACAGCATGATGAAACTGGAGGGGGAGGCCTAAAGTTGTTAGAAATGCAGCCTTACTATACCCAGTTACTATACAAGACCACCCAGGAAATGATGGCACCCCCAAGGTTATATGGAATTTAAATGGCATCCTATAGACATATTAGCTTTGAGGAGATTTAAGGAAGCAGTCATCTCCTATGGTATGCATTCATCCTATGTTAAGCAGATATTAAATTTACAATCAACTGAGAACAGTTGATTATCCCTCATGACTGGAAAGGTATGACAACAGCAATATTGGAGCTTGGTCCTCATTTACAATGGCAATCGTGGTGGAAAAAGAAAGCGAAGGTCATAGAACAACGAAGTCAGGCCAGGATCAGTTGCTAGGTGAAGGTCAATATGCTGGTTTATAAAGGCAGTTTGAATCTGATAATCACACCTTAGCACTGGGTTGTCTAGCAGCTTTAAATCCTTGGGATAAGGCTGAAGAATCAGGAAAGAGATCCAAGTCATTTACTAAAATTATACAAGGCCCAAAAGACGACTTTAGTGATTTTTTGCAAAGATTTACTTCAGCTATAAATAGAACTATTATTAGATTCAGTAAAGCAGAAAAGTACTAACTGAAACTTTGGCTTTTGAAAATGCTAATTCAGAATGCAAAAGAGTGATTAGACCTTTAAGGGAAGATCAGCACCAATAGAGGAGTGGATTAGAGTAAGGGCTGATATTGGACCTCATGTTTACAACACTCATCTGATAGGAGAAGTAATTTCTAAAAAACTTAGGACTCAAAATGGCAGATGTTTTAATTGTGGTAAGCATGCCCATCTGCAGGCAAGGCTTTCCTAGAAACAATGGTTTTTCTAGAGATAATCCAAAAAGAAGTCCCCAGCCTTCTGGCGTATCCAGAAGGTGAGGCAAGGGCAGGCACTGGCCTAAAGAGCGCAGATCAACAAGAGAGTGACAAGGCAACTCTCTGCTTTCGGGAAACGCCCGAGGTGGGCCTCCCACACACCCTGATATCAAACTTGATTCAACTGTTCCCTGTCAGCATTGGAGAAACTCATCCACACAGCAATTAAAAGATTTAGTGCCTGTTGTTAAAATAGCACTGCTCTGGATGCAATCAAGGACAGAACAGGTTCAGTAGATAAAACAAGAAATTCAAGAAAGACCACCAAACAAATATTTTGGCAAACTGCTCTAAATGATCAGAGACCCAAGCTAAAAATACAAATAAATGGCATTGGAATTGAAGGTTTAGTAGACACAGGAGCAGATACAACAATAATTTCACCAAAATCTTGGTATCCAGATTGGCCTCTTCAGGAGGCAAATATGTAGCTTCTAGGGATTGGAATTTTACCTCAGATAAAACAAAGTGCAAGAAGAAGGACAACAGGAAAAATTAAAGCTATATGTGTGGCTAATAGAGACATGAATTTATGGGGCGTGATTTGATACAATGAAAACACAGATTAACATTCCTCCAATTTCAGAAACAAACTATAAAATAAATAATGCTTCGGAGAAAAATATCAAAAGGTATTATCGATAACAGTCACAAAATGTCCAGGTTGTCCATAAGCAGGACACAACAGGTGTTGGCTTTCAAAGGTACCAATTGCCCTACCTTTAAAATGGCTAACTGACAGGGCTGTATGAATGGATCAATGGCCTATGAAATAAGAAAAATTACAGATATTGGAACATCTGGTACAGAAGCAGCTAACTGCTCAACACACTGAGGAATTTACCAGTCTGTGAAGTTCCCCTGTGTTTGTTATAAAAAAGAAATCAGGAAAATGGAGGACACTAACAGATTTAAGAGCCATAAATAATATGATTCAGCCAATGGGCTCTTTACAGCCTGGAATCCCATTTCCTTCTTTATTACCTAAGTCATGCCTTTGATAGGAATTGATTTAAAAGATTGTTTTTTTCACAATCCCTTTGAATGAGCAGCCTAGGGAAAGATTTGCTTTCATAGTGCCAACATATAATAATAGTGATCCTATAAAGAGATATCATTGGAAGGTCTTACCACCAGGCCTGTTAAACAATCTTACCCTGTACCTGTATTTTATACATCAGCCATTAGAAATAATTCGTACACAGTTTCCTCAACCCAAAATTTACCATTATATGAATGATATCTTACTGGCTGATTCAGATACAGATACCTAGGAAAAAAATGTTTGATGAACTACACAGAATTTTGCCTTGCTGGCCATTACAAATTACTCCTGAAAAAAAAAAAAAAAACCAAACAGGAGATCCTATCAATTATTATCTAGGATATAAGATAGGTTTCTAGAAAATTCGACCACAGAAAGTACAAATCAGGAGAGATCAATTACAAACTCACTGACTTTCAAAAATTGCTGGGAGCTATTAACTAGCTACGGCTCATAACTGGATTAATTACTCAGGAGTTGAGTAATTTATTTCAAACCTTACAAGGTGATAAGGACTTAAACAGTCCAATAAATTATCAGCTGAGGCTGAGAGAATTGGCTCTGGCAGAAGAGAAACTGCAGGACGCACGTGAGGATCGCCTGGATCCTGAGCTGTGTTATATTCTTGTTGTTTTGACTTCTACTCATTCTCCCACGGGAATTCTTATGCAGAGAGTAGATATCTTAGAATGGATACTTTTGGCACATAAACAGAGTAAAAAATTAAAGACCTATATGGAAAACATTTCTGAATTGATTCTGAAAGGAAAAGTGAGAATTCATCAATTAGCAGGAATAGAACAAGCAGAAATTATGGTACCTGTTACTAATGTTGAAATTGCCTCATTATGGGCAGAAAATGAACACTGGCAAAGAGCATGCAGTAGTTTTTTTGGGAGAGACTGACAACAAGTATCCCAAAAGGAACAGACTTCAACTTATAAAAGAAACTAACTGGATTCTCCTTCGTGTAGTAAAGGGACACCAATTTCTGGAGAACCTACATTTTATACTGATGCAAATAAATCAAGAAAGGCAGGTTATAAGTCAGGAAAAATAAGTGGCTCAGAGCCCTTATGATTCAGCTAAAAAAATCAGAGTTGTATGCTATTCTTACGATATTATACGATTTCCTGAATATGCAGAAAGAGTTGTTTTACATATTGAAACTGCTGAGCTTATTCTGGATGATTCAGAATTAACTTCTCTATTAAACTACAAGTAATTAGAAACAATCCATTGTATATAACACATTTCAGATCTCATACGGGTCTACCAAGCCCCCTCAGCACAAGGCAATGATGAAATTGGTCAGCTGTTAATAGGAAATGTGCTAGAAGCCTTGGAATTTTACAAGAAACACCATGTTAACAGCAACAGTTTGAAGAAATGGTTTCCTATCACTTGGCAACAATCTAAAGAAATTGCCAGGCAATGTCCTACTTGTTCTCTGTATAACCAAACTCCATTACCCACAGGAAGTAACCCAAAAGGTACCCAAAGAAATGGAATTTGACAAATGGATGCTTCATTTTGCAGAGTTTGGAAAAGTAAAGCATGTGCATCATACCATAGATACATATTCAGGATTTCAATGGTAACTGCTTGAAGTTCTGAGAAGGCTGGTTCTGTAACTACATGTTTATTAGCGCGTGTGGCAATTATGGAAATACCTGTACAAATGAAGACTGATGGAGCTCCAGCATGTCTCCAGCAAAATGAAACAGGGTTTTTGCATATTTCAGGTATACCACGCCCTCCTACAGGACAAGCAGTTACAGGAAGATCTAATCGCACGTTAGAAGACAAGCTTAATAAACAGCAAGGGGTCATAATGACCCCCAGAGATGGATTACACAATGCTTTATTAACTTTAAATTTTTAAACACTAATGAAAAAGGAACAAGAGCTGCATAGAGACATCAGATAGCAGAAAAAAACTGCTGAATTACGTCAGCCTGTATATTCTAAAGATGTGCTGAGCTCACAAACCAGTGAAACCCTGTGGTACTGGGACACTGGCTCCCTGAGAAGGCAGAACAAACCCTCAGTTTCAGGGTTTCCATACTGTGGCCCTCTACCATCACTTTACCATCACTATATATAAATATTTTTCCCTCTCATGAGGTGGGAAGTGTCTGTTTCCATCATGAACAGAGATAAGAAAGAAAAATCAGATTTGTAACATTTGGCCTGGACCTTCTTTTTCGAAGAGCATTTAATCTTCAACAGGCCTGTGCCAATCCCAAGATGATTCTGGCCTCCCTGAGTTAGTATGATCAATGACCTGTCTCTAAAGCAACTGACGATAATAACAATCAATAGTTAGAATAATCACATTATTGAGATTTATTTTAGACATTTAAATATGGACACTTAGGGAAAAAACAAAACATAGTGATGGTAAAGTTTGGCTAGAGGGCCACAGTGGGAAACCGTGAAGCTGAGGGTCTGTTCTGCCTCCTCAGGGAGCCAGTGCCCCAGTACCACAGGGTCTCACTGGTTTGTGAGCTCATGCCATGCACTTCTCTTCAGACAGTGGATGGATGCAGCATGTTTTATCAATCCGGAACTCTCAACTATTTCACTTCCCAAGGAGGTGAAGGTTAACCTTAACTACATACAAAGTTTGATAGCCTAGGCTACATCTCCAGCATATATATGTTATATGTTGTTTGTATATGCATTCCTTTGCTTTCCTGTTATAGAAAAAACTAGAAGGACTGAAATGTTTCATGTATGATAAGCAGCATGTATTTTACTGAGGCTCAAGAAGGACTTGTAATCAACAGAAACAAAAGGAGAAGACAGCACTGAGTCCTCAGAGGCAAGGCACTTACTCTCCCTGTGTCTTAGTGAACCCACAGACGATGCACGAAAATCAGTGAGGCCAAAATAATAGAGAAGAAAAAAATTACAACATTAAGACTAACCTGAAAGTCTGAACAAGGTTTTTAAGTTCAGTGTAAATATCTCCCATTGTAATCTGAAGAGGCCCCAAAAGGCCAGGCAATCTGAAGAGAAAAAACAAGGAAATTAGACATTCTTTAAAGCTAGAACTTAATTTTCCTGAGGAAACACTCTGTGGGGCATGCCTGCTCTGGGCTTTCCATGGCCAACAGTGGTCCTGAAAGAGACACAAAGGTTAAGCTACATGACGACTAGTGAGAAGTCAAAGGAGCGTTCAAGGAGTCCAAGCTCTTCAGTCTGCGCCCCAGAGCTACGCAACACTGTCCTGGCTGCTGTCCTTTTCTTTCGGTTTCTAGTTTTCTTACCCGAAGAGCAATCTGTCACTCTGTAGACCAGGCTGGCCTCATACTCAAAAGAGATTCAGCTACCTCTGCTAGGATTAAAGGTGCTGTGGGGAATTTGTTTTTCTAGTCTACAATCTCAATTTTTCCCTTTATGATATTCCTAGGTCATCTACACAAAGAACTTATTACTAAAAAATATCTGAAAAGATACAGTCTTAAGATGGAAAGTTTTCAAGCGAGGAAATTCATATAAGCTTTTCAAATCTTTAAAAGATGTTCAGAATTCAAGGATAATATTTGTAAATTGCAAACTCATAAAAATAGTTAATTTAAACCTCTTTCAAAACCAGAATGACACATCTATACTTACACTTTGCTCAATTTTTCAAGAACAATCCGTTTTCTAATCTGGTTCTGGGAACTTGACTCAATCAGTGGGAAGCTGCGATCACGTGGAAATACTTTCTAAAGCAAACGGAAAAAATATTTTTAAATTTTTTAATGAGTAAAGCAATAATATTAAATAGAAAAGTTCACTCCTCCAGTATTAAAAAGATTTGAGAATTCAAACATCTCAACCTGAACCTCAGCTGAGGTCGACATTACTCTGATGAGCTGCCTGGCCAATTTGCCCTCTTTTGACGGTAGCTGCTCTTCTGTAAACTGCGCAACTCACTATAAACCTACATTTAAGGATTAGCATCAGCAATTACTAGAACTTGTGGCAAAGTCCTGTTCCAGAAAAGATAACAAACATACAAAACAAAACCCATTTCACACTTGTTTGAAAGTGGCACAGACCTAGCACGGTATAAGGAATTTGGCCTGAGACCCTGGAAAGAGTAACTCAGGAGAGTGCCCAACTAATCCTGTAAGAGGCAATTCAGCTACTGAGAACCTGGGCAGAGACTTCCTAGCAGAATTTCACGTCAGTGCAGGCCAAAAAAGGAGGGTTCTGGACAAGGCTCCCTAGTCGGAGGACCTGGAGGGACACACTCCAGGAGAAAGACGGACTCTTGGGGGCTGCTGCCCTCAGTGAGCTTCCTCAGCTTCTGAGCAGGTTCTGGTGACATGGGATTGCCGAGAAGCTGGAGGTAAACAGAGCTACTGGGAGGATGGGAACAGAATCCCGTGTCTCAGGTTGGTCTCCAATGTGCAAGAGGCTGGCTTCAAACAGTTCACGGTCCTTAGTCCCCCAAGCACTGGGATTAGAGGCATGCTCACTAAAGTCAGCTGGCAGCATTCTAGTACACAATGTTTGATAGCTAATAAAGGCGATGGTTCAGATGATGAAATCATATTACCATGAAGTGCTATATGGTATCATATCATGCTCACAGAAAGACATTTAACATCCTCCAAGAAAAATGACAGTTAAAAGAACCGACAGACCAGAACTGAGCAGCACAGCATTTAAAGCCGCTAGTCAGGCACTGGGACGGCAGAGCCACATTCTCCCAGGTGACTTTGTGACCAGTGTCTCCCGTGCAGCACAATACCCGTGGCTCGCCGTTATGGCAGCTGGGCCCCGACAGTGTGGGGGCAGCAAACATTTTCTCACAGAAGGCCTACAAAGACCTGTGGCTGCCACTTCCTTCTTGCTCCCAGCTCACGGGGAGTCAGTGCTATGGGGTAAGGGGAAGGCTGGGGGTGCTGGGAGCAGCCTTAGTGAGCATCACCAGTGCTGGGGGCTTCCCAGGGATGCAGCCTGCCCAGCGCGTTAGTGACCCTAGCACACCCAGTCTTCCAAAGTGAGGCGGCTTTCCTCATTGCTGGTCCTTATGCAAGGTGAAGAGACACCTTTTGGCCATCAGAAAAGTCACACAAAAGGCAGGCGCAGGGCTCCTGGGAAACAGCTGGGACTCCGATATTGTGCATATACAATAGGACATCCCCAGTATGAAAGAACGAACTACAGGAACACACAACAGCACAGGTGACAGTATTATGGAACAAACTGGACAACAAGAACACAGACTGCCCCAAACTGGCAGAAGTAACCTCCACTGGGACAGTAATCCTGGAAAGAGGTGCTGTCAGGGACGGGCACCAACGCTCGACTTTCCTTGTAAGGACGCCCTTCCTGTCCGGATGTTCAGGGTTAGCAGTCTACAGTCTCTACACATGCTACGAAACGCCAGTGTGAGGCTTAAAACCAAGTCAGGGGCTTCCGACACGCACGGCCCCTTCTTTCGGCGTTAGTGCAACAAGTGTTGAGTGGGGCCTGTGGCAGCTCACAGGGAGAGACCAGTGTTTCTTCCGGATGCTGCCTAACGTCAATACTGAGACTTCAACTACGGAGTGAGGCTAAGCAAATATTCTGTAAGATCCAGGAAGTACCTAGATTTTTTAGCTCCACTTTCCCCTCCAAATCTCCAAGCGCACTTTTCCTCTAAGGCAGCCCACTTACAACTCAAGAACAAGACAACTTCCCACGCTTCTCCCCAAATCCGACTCCCAGAGTTCAACCAACCCAGAACATGAGGCGACATTACAGCCCAGCGGGCCACGCAGCCCACACTGACGTGATGATGGAGGCTACACACGGTCCATTTACAGATCAGCCGTAAAGAAGTCCAGGAAGCTGGCTGCGACCAAGCTCGGGTCTCTATATCTGCTACTCCCCAGTAAGCTTTTTTAAAACTACATTTCATCTTGTGAGTTTGTTTCCACACGTGTATGCAGACATCAGCTATCACTGTTCTCTACCTTAGTGTTTAGAGATAGTCTCTCACTGAGTTTGGAGACACTCCTCCAAACTGCTGATCAGGGAGCTCCTGGAATCCTCCTGCCTCTGCCCGCCCGGCCTGGCAGTGGCCAACACAGGGGTGAGTTGTGCGTGGCTTCTCTGAGAGCTAGGAGTATGAACTCAGCTCCTCAAATTTAGGTAGCACCTTCTCCATGAGCCGCCTTCCCTGCCGTATCTGTAACATTTCAAGCGGACATGCAAAGCAAACATCACCCAGAAACTGCCTGACCACCTCAGGGTCGACCTATCCCACTGCAGACACATGGCGAAGCACAGAGCGCGCTCCCAGATTTGCCCTGCGGAGCGCTCCAAGCGTAAGCAGCTTGAAGAGCTCACCAGGAAGACACACCTCTGTCGGGTCCTGCTCCTTGGCAGCATCTTCACCGAGGAGATAGCGTCCCCTGTAGAATTCCCGCACCCTCAGGTTCAGCAGCTCCGTCTCCTTTTTCAAGCTCTCGTAGCTCGGCAGAGGCTGCACAGCGGTGTGCGAGCCCCTGACAGGGAGGGTCTCATGCAGGTTGCTCTGAGGCGGGCTCAGGGCAGGCCCGGAGTGGCTTAGGTCATCCTCATCATCCCCATTAGCTTCATCAGCCTCTCCATCAGGCCCGCAGGTGGATGAAGGCCTCAGGCTCACAGAAGCACGGTCCTGGCTGCGCAGAAAGCTCAGCGTTTCCTCGGTCTTCCACTCGGTCAGCGTGTCCTTCAGGACGCGAAGTAAGCTCGCCTTTGCAGCCTCAGGGCGCTCCTGGGCCCCGGCCGGGGGTGCTCCCGCCGAGCCCCGGTTACCTCGGGCAAATCGGCTCAGGAAAAGCTCGGCGCTCCTCCGGCTTATGCCGACAAGCGTAACTCCGGCCACGCCGCGCCCACCTTCGTGTGCGCTCGGGCCCAGAGGCCCGGGTGGAGGAGTCCCGGCCACCGCTTCCTCCCCGGCGCCCACGCGGCAGGCGCGCAGCCGCGCGGCCAGCCCCTCCAGCGCGGGTCCTCCGGGCCCGGAGGCGGCAGCCCCCACCGCGCCGCTTTCCGTGCTCTCCGCGTGGGCCGCAGCCTCCTCCCTCACGGCTTCCGCAGGGGGCGCGGGCCTCCGTGGGCCCGGCAGAAGAGAGGACACGAAGCCTTCCTCGTCGTCGCTGGAGGGAGAGGCCCCAGGGCCGTCGAGGTCAGCGGCCGTCACGGCCTCCCGGAAGAACTGCACTTCCTCTCCAGAGCGGCCACTGCACGAGGAGACACAATCGAGACAATCACAGGCGCACAAAGCATCCCACAGCACATTCGCAAAGGCCAAGCTAATTCTGTCCCTCAGACACAGCCGTCCTGACGGCTCGCACACGCTTCAGGGGGCTTTGGTTTCTCTGTGGTGAGACGTTCTTCCCCCAGCTTTCCTTCGCGTGTTCCCAACATCTTACAGTTCGTAGAGCACAATCAAGCAAACACGAACATTTTAAGGACTCTATGATATTGGATGATTGTGATTTCTGCTTGAAAAAGAGGTTACTATTTTCTAGTTCTGCTTGACCATTACACAGAAAATTTTATGTAATGAAAAAATACAAAAATCTTAACAGAAAATGAAGTTGGCACCTCAACATCATTCAACGGAAGAAATTTAAATCTAAAAACTCACGATGCAAACAATAACATCTGTCCTCTGACTGCACTCTTCAATTTCTAGACTCAATTTAAATAAAGTTAAGAATTCTGAAGAGTAAAGGCAAAACAGGAGCTCCTCCAGCTCACAACGAGATAAGCAAGCACGGGTGAGCAGCTGCTCTCGAACACACACGTGAGAGCTTTGGTATCGGAGGAGAACGTGTCTGGGTCTACAAGTACTGTGGGGAAGAACTAAAGGAGTGAAAGCAAGGTCCTAGTGGGAATACAGAAAAATGGTCAAAAGTTCAGTTTTTTAGGCTCATATACTTTCTTTTTAAAACTATCATGTAACCTACATTGCCAAGCACATGAGTTTTGGACAAGAAAAGAAAGTTTCACTTTAAGAAGTCAGATACAGGCTGGAAAGAAGAAGCCTCAGTGCGGAAGACCAGTTGTTCTTTCAGAGGAGCTGGGTTTAACTCCCAGCACCCAGCTGGCTCACAACTGTCCATAACTCTAGCTCCAGGGGTCCAGGGCCATCCTGATTTCTCTGGGCCAGGCAAGCATGGAATGCACAGACATACAAGTAGGCAACACTTAAGTATACACTTATAAAAAAGAAAGTAAATCTGAAAAGTCAGAAACTTCCATAGTTTTCATACCTCATTCTTTCTCTTGAGGTTTCAAGGCAATTACATTTGGTACCAGGCTAAAGCCACAAAGGCGTCCATCAATAAACAAGTTTCTCTTACTGTGCTGAACACACTGTGACTAGGGCCTTGACTAGCAACCAGGGACATTTACTCTGAGAGTTGAAAGGATTTGTTCTGAGTGATGGCTGTAGTTGAGCAAACAACACGATGAACAAACAACACCTAAGAGATGGGACTGGGAAAAACCAAAACCCCTCAACCTGCATTTCATATAATACTTTAGATATTTCAAATACTTAACATGTTAATATCTTAAAAACCTGTAAAAGAAGCGCAAAAAGCCCTCTCCCCAAACGCAATGGCAGAACCTCACCAACAAAGGCACAGTCTGAGGTGCAGGCTGTGTGTGTGTCTGTCTCAACAGGCTCAATTAGACTTGCTCAGTGGGGCAGCTGAACAATAAATCAGACAGGTCAAATAAACCATCTTCTCTTCACAAAAGAAAGCGTCAAACACGTCACACGCCTCTCTGTAGCACACTAGCACAGGAAGTCCAGGCACTCACGGCACCTGGCCCACTCAGGTCAGCGAAACAGATTTGAACGAACCTTTGTCCTTTCTTCAGAAGCTCAAAGTCAGGAGGCCTGGAACCAAACACAGCAAGAGCAAAGTGAAGGCAACTGACGTGGTCAAGAGCCTACCATGACTGCATTGCACAGGAGATACAATTAAAGGAGTAACTCACATAAAGGGGTTTTTTTTTCCTTAAGAAAAAAGGACAAATACATATGTAAACACACGCACAAACATCTGCATTTTGGGTTTTTTTTTACTTAAAATTTATTCATTCTCTGAACTAACTTCAAATTCCATGTACCCAGTACAGCCTCCTCTGACCAATGTGGGCAAAAGAAAATCACTCTCTTCTCTAAATTCCGGTCACTGTCAGCTCCAATTTATACAGTTATCAGGTTATTTTGTTTATTGTTAGAGCTATTATCTAAATGTTTTTCTTCACATATGTCTTGAGTTGGGTTCTTAACTGACCCCCCAGCTCCTCAGGGCAGAGACTGTAATTCTTATCTAGTCACCCTAACTTCTGAGACAGCAATTATGTTGTACAATGGCTTTGTTTTGGTTTGGTTTTGGTTTTTCCAGGCAGGGTTTCTCTGAGTAGCCTTGGCTGTTCTGGACTCACTCTGTAGACCAGGTTGGCCTTGAACGCGCAGAGATCTGACTGCCTCTGCCTCCTGAGTGCTGGGATCACAGATGAGCGCCCCACGCCCAGCAGCCTGACATTCTTTTTAAAGCAGACAATCATGTTTAAACCTGCCTTCTCTTAACCGTTAAACAAATCTGCCATCAACACTCGACTGACCCCCTTTGTTGCAAACTTTCTTTAAAGTTTGCCTCATGTTGGAGAGATGGCTCTGAGGTTAAGAGCCCTGGCTGCCTTTCCAGAGAGAGGACCTGGTTTTGACTCCCACCACCAACATGATGGCTCACGGCCATCTGTGACTCCAGTCTCTGGTGAGATCTTCTGGACTCACGGCACTGCATGCCCCCAGCACATGGCACACGACACACAGGCACATATGCAGACAGAACACCCACACACCCACACACAGAAAAGGTCTCCCTCATCCTCAGTTCCCTATCTGTCCTCAGTTGTGACCCTCTGTCTCCGGAATCTATGCCCGTCACTTGGCACTTGGTGGCTCTTGTTGAGATCACCATTAACTGCTGTGGTGGTTAGCTTAATGATTTGTTATTTTTACTTCTTTTTAAAGCTGAGTAAAAGGAATCAATCTAAAAATAAGAATGGACTAAATCATAAAGGCAGGCCTAGGAGAAGGAAACACTCAGTAACAAAGAGCAGAGCACTCTATTTGCAATAAGGAGAAAGAAACAAGCGAACAGGAAGAACCAATGCTGGCAGCAATGCCAATGTCCTCATGTGTGTGGGCACAGCTGTGGGTTGAAACACTGGGGGTTGGGTTCAATGTTTAAATCGAGCAGAAAGTCTGAATGAACAGGCAATAACAAACAAGCAGGAGAATGCGGGTATGGTTGTGATTAGGGCCAAAGGGACACTAAAGACATAAGCTTTGGTGCCAGACTGAACCTGGTGGGTGGGAATCTCTGTATGTGTGTATGTGGGCATGAATATATGCATGTACACATTTACGTATGTATATATGTATACATATGTATACATAGACTTATGTATGTACATGTCTGTCTGTCTTATGTATGTCTTTTTTGAGAGTCTTACTGTATTTCAGGCTGGCCTGGAACCCTTACAAAGTACAGCTGGCCTTGAATTTATAATTCTCCTGCCTCAGCCTCTCAAATGCTAGTATTACAGATGTGAACCAGCTTGCCTGGCTCCAGCCCTGCACTTCAACCCCAACCACTGTGTACAAGCCAAGTGTCGCTGTGCACACTGCCACACCTCTAGGTTCCCGTCCCTAAATAAGCTATGGAGCCCACCTAGGTGGTCACACTAAGGGATACTCTACCTAAAATGTTAACGCTCTTGAAAACGTTCTCAATAACATTCCAACACTAATAATTCCAAGAATAGTCCCACCAGTACTCCATTAGTGCAAGTACAGGAAAAAGCACAAACTGAAAAGGACTGGACCTTGGGAGGAATCACATGCTGACTGTGGGCCTGAGAAAGCATGCATGCCAAGAGTCTGTCAGCCCAGAAACTCAGAGCTGGGGAAGACAGGGGGTCAGAAGCAGGTCGCACGGCGGACTGACAGCTGTGGTCAGAGGGAGGGAAGCTCCACCATTATGATCCTGACTGCAGTTCCAAGTAAGAATGAGGCCCACACACTGCTGAGGAAAGGACAACCAAACTCAACATTTTCCATCATCAATACAACTAAGCCAGTTCGACTTTCATTTTGTGGGTTCATTTCTTTGAAATAGGATCACGCTATGTAGATCAAGCTGGTCTTCAACCTCACGTCTCAACTGACCTTCCTGCCTCGGCCTTTAGCAGCAGGGACTGCAGGCTCACATTGCTGTCCCTGACAGTTTCTGATGGCAGGAGGGACATGAGCACATAGTAGGTGCCAACTATGTGCTACCCAGGTTCCAGTGTCTTCCATGCCACTTGGAGAAATGAGCAAGGGGGGGGAAGGCTTTCTTCTGGCTCATGGTTCCAGACTTCACTGTAGGGCAGGCACAGGGTAGAGCTGCAGACTGAGGGTGCCACTGCCTCCAGTCAGGACGCAGAGAGGACTGCCACACTGCTGCACGCTGGCCTTCTCCATCCACACAGGCTGGGATCCCAAGCAGGGACAGGTCCCCACCCAGGGTACGCCCAGAAGCCCCTCCCAGGTGAGTCTAGAGTCTGTTAAACTGACAGTTAACACTAACTAAGCACCAACAGGGTTTTTAAATTGTGGTAAAGGGCCCAAGGATTCAGCTCAGAGATGGAATCCATCCAGCAATGCCAGGCAGATCAGCAATGGACTCGCAGCCAGATGTGTACAACATGGAAGCTACCATTTAACAGAGCTTTTCCTGTCCAGCTCGGTACATTCTCATCACTGTCCAGCTACCACAACTGCTGTGGTTAGCATTCCATCACCTCTACAGACTGTTGCTGTGCTTTACATACTATTTTCTCTAATCTTCCAACTGCCAGCTGTTTTTGCAGGTAAGTGAAGCTTTGGGAGTGACCGACCTGAGATCCCACAGCCAAATGTAAGTCAAGGCCAGAATTTAGGCCTCATTTCAAATTCTAAGCTCTTTCTACCCGATGTTGCCTCTGGTGTCAGAAAAACATTACCCCCTCCAAAAAAGAAAAAAAAGAAAAAACCCATAAAAAATAAAACAAGAACAAAACAAAAAACCCAACCCTGAGGACATTACTTTTGGTTTGTTCCTATTGTAGGGACTGAACATACTTTACAGCTCTTGCTGTTCTTTCTTCTATTCTCTCTGACTTTACACGCAGTCAGTCATCCTTGTTATCAGATGGTATTTTGAGTGACTAATACCTTTGTTGGTCCCTAACCTATGAGAAATGGTGCCTAAACTACAACTGGCAAGAGATCTACTTTTGTTATGTGCAGTTTTACAATCAAACAGGATACACTGCCCATTCTATCCTTTCTTACATAAAGTTAAAATCCGTGTGTGTGTGTGTGTGTGTGTTAAAATGGCTGTTTCTTTCCATGCTAAGTATCTTCTTCATGATTTATGTTGCCCTGGTGATAATTTTGGAAGCACAATTAAAAAACACAAAACTAGCAAAAACCCTACGTATAGAATGCTGTCAAATGGTTTTAAGTGCTTTATCTTATTTTCAAGTATTAGATAGATGACTAATGTAATTATTTTTATATTTTGGTTTTTAGAGACATGATATAACCTCACACACAATGTGGTGGAGAATGCTCAGTGTCTTATCTTCCTGCCTAACCCTTCAATGCTGGCATCACAGGTGTATGCTCCGGCACCTGGCTCTAGAGGCTTAACTCTAATTTTAGCAAAGTGAATCTATGACTGGAATAATCTACACTCCAAACATCATGCAGATATGCTCATATACGTGTGCATATGTGGCTGGAGGCCCACAGTGCTCCCGAGGTAGGACTCAAGTGTCCGTGGACACACTGAGGTCCTCACTCCCCCAGACTTAGCTGCTTCCGCCCAAGATTGTGCATGTGTGCTGCTGAGAGCTGATGTGTAAAAATCCCCAACTCTAGGCCACATGACATACTTAGCTGTCAGCATTAACCATTCACCCAAAATTGTTATCTCAAAACAAAATATGCTTTTCAACATTTGTCCTTCCTTTTTAGATTTCGCACGTAATTCTAGAAACTTCCGTCTTCCAACTCTGTCAGCTGCTGCATTTATAAAACCATACAGGGCTTAGGATGTAACCACAGACTATCTACGAACTGCGCTGTTTTGGCGTCAGGGCTGTGCGTGGTCTGTTTGTGGCCACATTCTGAACCAGAGCTCTAACTCACTGTTGCCTCTGGCAGGCTATCAGGAGACGTTCTGTGAGAAGCACTGTTCCCCAGTAGTTATGGACGTATTTTAATTTTAGATATTTTTTCACTATTATTAATGACTCTTCCCAACTCTAATACATCAGTAAGAGAAACAGTAAACTGAACTGAGGCACAGAGTTGTACAAGTAACTACTGAGGCCTACTCCCTCAGTCTGCTAACCTAGCCTAGTCCTGGAAGCGTCTAGCTTCCACACAATCTAATCTAGGCCTAGAATGTTTTCAGCCTCAGAGACTTACTGCTGAATAAGCTCACCCTTTCTAGCTCTTTCTGAGCTCTGGGCTGGCTGGTTCAACACAGCTGTTCTGGCTCAAACTTAGCTGACTGATTCAATTTGGCTTCTCTCAGTTTCTCACTGAATAGCTCTGCTTGGCCTCAAACTAACTTTAGCAATCTGTTCTAATCATTCTCTGGATCATTCTGAATTCACCTGTGTCTAGCTTGTTCTCTCTTCAACCTCTCTCTGTAAAACTCTTTCAGTAAAAACTGTTTTTGGATCCCACAAACTGAACCGCCACGAACTTGACCCCACTGTACTGCCTCGACTCACTGGCCTCACTGAACTGACTACCAGAACTCAGAGATCTGCCTGCCTCTGTCTCTCGAGTGCTGGGATTAAAGGCATGTACCACCACACCTGGACCTAAGCTTTTCTTTACCTGAAACTTGCTCTATACCAGGCTGGCCTTGAACTCAGATCTGCTTCTCTGACTCCTGCATTAAAGGTTTGTTTGTATTCCAGCCAGATCACATAGACCTAGAAGGTCTCTGGATGTGATCTCTTGCCACAGCAGCCATGTTCTGAATTAAAATTCCTCTACACAAAATTATAAACATGACACTACAAGACTTGGGGATTTTATAATCTAACAAATAAATCTATCGTAGTAATAGCTGGGTCAAATTTAGTGTTCTGTTTCCTATCGGTTAAAGGATCATGACGTCTAGGGTTCAAACACTCCATAAGACACCCGTGGCTTTTCTTCTCATTTAAAACTTTGACTCAGTCCTTCATCTTTATAAACAAATGCATTTCAATTAGTCTAAATTCTTAATCAGAGCCTGCAAGACAGCTCAAGTCTATCTGGTCTCACGCTGATCAAAAATTGGAACTGGTGTAATAAAAATGCAAACTTTTATAAATGAGGAACTGTGGTCTAGGGCTAAGGAAATGTTTTCTGATACTAAAACAGCTAAAACTCTGAGCTAGAGTGAAAAGAACAGTGCTCTTCAGACAGCAATGACAAACAAGGCGTGTGACCAGTGTGTCATATTATGGCAGAAAATAACTCGACATTTAATGACTGTTTTTAAAGTTATATGAACATATTTGTCTATAAGATTTATTAGAATGTTTATAATTCACTGCAATAAGGTATTTTTTTAGTTGAGTGGATTTAAATTTGTGTTTTATGTTGAATATTACATCACTGTCATGCAATATATGCTTATGGTTTAAAATAAAAACCTCTGTATTAAAATTAACTAAGGACTGCTATTCTAAAAGGAAGCGACACAGTTAACCCAGCCTCAGTGACAGCAGTGACCTCTAGTGGATTCAATGAGTAACAGCACAGCCACCGGCCCAGGGTGCATCCAGACCGATGTGACAGGTTGTAAAACCACCCAAGTTAGACACGGTAAATGCTCTGGTTGGACGGTGTGCATTGGCAAGATTTACGCTTGCACTGGCCCTTCACTAATTTCCATTAATAACGCTGAGTACAGTGAGTAATCCGGGCTCGTTTAGAGCCTTTCCTTAGCTTACGAAATCTGCTCCACTTTTGAAAGGCTGCTTAGCAAAGGGACGGGACTGACTCCATGGTCCTTTACGCTTTTGTGATTCTCTTTTAATTCATTACGTAGACCAATGCTGACCAAGTTCTGCTCAAAAGAAGTGTGCACCAGGTGTATTTGACTAGCATGGAAAAAGCCCCAGGTTCAATCCCCAACACTGTAAACCAAACCCGATAGGTCCCAGGACGTGAACCTGGCTCTTCTTACCCTACTTGTTTCTCCATGCTATACCGTAGTGCCCTCTGCTCCACAAGAGCCATACCCAAGACTCCAAGCTCTCGCCTAAAACCATGAGCGGTACCAAACCTTACACAGGCTTTGCTCTTTTCCTATGTAGCTAGTCATGACGACAGGTGAACATGTGAAGTGTGATCACACTGGAAAAGGGGTGAGTCATGCCCCGAGCGAGGAGCAGCTACACGGTGTGCAATGTTTATTGTAGTAGTAATGGTTTATAATTTAGAACTTATGAAGTACTTCTGCAATCTTCTACCATTTTCAGATTGCAGTCAATGTTGACAACCACAGCGAGCCAACGTGGGATACTGCATCCTAAAGTCGGCAGTTTCCTCTCCTGTTTATAGTTAGTCATCACGTAACGTCCTAACGTTGATCTGACACCTACTCCGTCAAGTTAGGAAATATTGTTTCTTCACAAATTTATTCTGTTATCTCAATTACTATTAAACTCACAGGTTGAGATTTATGTGTACATGAATATGCATGTGTCTTGCCAGGTACATATGTGGTGACACTAACATACATGTGCCTGCATGTGCCTTGCCAGGTGCATACACGGTGAGCTGGTGGGATTGTGGTGTCCTGCCTCCTTCTTCAGGTGTGGACTCCAGGGTTTGCCTGTTTTCAGCCAACTGCATCTCTTCACACCTAAGTCACTGTATTTAATTAGCGGCCATTGGCACTGTCTGACCCCAGATAACAGGGCCCTGTGTCTTCAGTCACCATTCAAGAAGACACTGATCTCATTAAGCCTTTGTCTGCAGTCTCGACAGTCCAGTTTAACTGTTGCTTTTGCTACACTCTGACACTCATTCACAGTATTAATAAATTTCTTCAAGTTCTGCATCAGCACAATACTGCAAGTATGTAATTATTTCCTGGGCAAAAGCCCTGCCATGACCACAGACTTTTTATCGGCATTCTTTAAACTCAGGGTACTGCAGTTATTGTAATGAAGCCTGACATCACAGTGAGTTTGGCCAGATTCCCAAGGGCTAGTATTCTGAAGAAAGTTAATACTTTAAACCAGGGTGCTCATATTAGTAGGATTTAGACTCTCTTGGCAAAGCAAGGGCCAAAATGAAAGTTCCAGCTTTGTGATTAAAACTCCAACACTAGAGAGAAAGTATTTGCAAGTAAGATTTTTCACTTAAAAATCCTTAATAACTATGCTTAAGATATAAGTATTTCCCTAGAGCTAAGGAGTTTGTAAAACGGTGACAGTCTACAGAAAACTACACCCACTGTCAGCCTGTGTCAAAACCAGAACAGTCACCACTGGAATAAACAGGATAAAGATTTAATTACCTTTCTTCCTCTCGAACCCATACTGGAGTTTTGGGAATCTGTGTTTCAAAATATTTAGATGCTCTGTAACAAAAATTGCTGCAGAAAGACTGAAAAGAAAAATTTTAAATTAGTTCATTATTTTTCTATTTTGAAACATAACCTACACACAGAGAACATGAATGTGTTGATTAAACAATAAAACAAAGCCAGGTGGTGGTGGCCATGCCTTCAATCCCATCACTAGGGAAGCAGTGGCAGAGGCAGGTGGATCTTTGAGTTCGAAGCCTGCTCTACAGAGGGAGTTCCAGGATAGCCAGGGCTACACAGAGAAACCCTGTCTTAAAAAAACCAAAAGCAAACAAAAACCCCAACCCCAACGGCTTCTACCACATAAGTCCAAGAGTAAAGGACACGACCTTCGATGGCTCCTGTGTGCCCCTTTCCACTGGGTAGTGAGCACCCTTACACCCACCGAGTCGCCTCATTGGCCCTTTCTGGTTTTTTGAGGCAGGGCTTCACATAGTGCAAGCTGACCTCACAAGTCTAAATGGCTGAGGACGCTTCTGAGCTTCTGACCCTCTTACCTCTGCCTTTTGAGTCCTAGAATTTCAGGTATGTACCTGGGTCACTAATTTTTCTTGTTTTGTATGTGTGTGCGCACAGGCACAGGAGTAGTATCTATGTGTCTGTGTGTGTGCACAGGCCTGACGTGCAGGCAAGAGGCTGACAGTGGTGCACTCCTCAGTCCCTTATCACCTTATTTTTTGAGACAGGGTCTCTCACTGAATTTTGAGGCTGCTGCTTTTGGCTTGGCTGACTGGCTAGGGAGCCACAAAGATCTGCCTGTCTCCAATTCCCAGTGCTGGAGTTACCAACACACAGAATTAAATTCCTGAGCATCTTTGGTTCACTTTTTAAAATACATATATAAGATTTGCTATCTTTTTTTTTTTTGAGATAAATTTTGCTGTGTAGCCTAGCTGGCTTCCACCCCTCAGTTCTCTTGCCTCCGCCTCCTAGGTTTTGGGCCCTGCAGGCAATGCCACAGTCCCAGCCTCATCGCCACCTTTTGGTGCACAGTTCAGGGGCAGCGAGCTCACACTGTTGCACAACTCTCTTGAGCATTTGCCTTTGGAATTCTTCTCAGCATACAAAACTGAAACTCTATACCCATGAAATAATAACTTTTTATTCTTAACTTTCTTGACAAGCACCATTCTACTATAAATATCATATTGTGTTGCTTTATTCCACTTCAAAACATCTTCCAAGTTCCTATGCCACTTCCCTTCTTTTTAACGTCACTGTACTATTCCACTATAGTCTATATGTTGTTCATATTCTACGGCTACAAATATTTCTACACATATATGGTACACGTGGCCCAGCAATTTCCAGGCATATAAGAATGAAAAGGCTTGGTCACAAAGACTGTGAGACATTTCTGGGTGTGTGAGAGGACCTGAGCTCAGCCTTCCCCACTTCATGGTGCAAAACTCAGATTCCAAAATAGGTTCTCAAAATGGCTTTAACAGCCTTTACTCCCATCAGCTCCTTTGTGGGTTGTACAACCAACTGTGTTTAGAATGGCTTTTTATGCATTACTAAAGAGACCCATCATGTTTCCATATGTTCATTAACCATTTGCATTCATATATGAAATATGCTTCCTTTTTCTTACACTGCGCATTCTAGCTATGCACTTGTAGAAAATATACCTTCACACTTTTCTCGTTTGCTAATAAACAAAAGTTCTAAACTTTAATACAGGAAAGTTTATCAACTTTTCATATATGGTCTAATTATCTGCCCATACAGTTGTGGGAGAGATGTGCTTTCTCTGCATAAGTCTTCATCCGCCTGCTTGACTGCTCTGACTGGGTTAAGTCAGGTCTCATGTCCCCCGTCTGGACAATGACTTGCCACCTCCCGCCACTGAAAACCTGTCCTTCCTCCCTCACCCACACGCCTGTTGCCAAAAATCCAGAGTTCATAGATGTGCTCAGCCTGCTCCTGGCTCACTTTTCTTACCATGGTTTCCTTCCCTGTATTTATACCAACACGAACTTCACATTTGTAAACTTTTTGATCTTTTTGCGGGAGGAGAGGTAGCCCAGAGAAGCTTCAGACTTGCTGCATGGCTGACAATGACTTGGCGCTCCTGATTCTCCTGCTCCACCAGGCCAAGCTTCAAGTCTCTGCTGCTGCTGTTGTTTTGAGACAGGGTTTCTCTGTGTCACCTTGGCTGTCCTGGCCTCGATTTGTGGACCAGGCTGGTCTCAAATTCAGAGAGATCCACCTGCCTCCGCCTCCCGAGTGCTGGGATCACAGGTGTGCACCACCCCTGGCTACTTCAAGTCTTAGTAAAGCTCCAGCAAGGGACTTTCTCAGCACCTGAGCTTTTACTAGAGGCAATCTGGCTATTTTTTAAAGTAAAACTTAAAAGTTCTAGTTAACGTCACTTAAAAATCAACTGCCGTATTAGATAGCTTTGGAACTTACCTTTCTTTCAGTAATATCATAGACTTTATTGGTTTTAGTAGAAATTTTGTATTTCTGTTTCGGTATCTGAAGAAAAAGAAAGCATAATTTACAAAAAATTTCAGTAAGGAAGGAAGGCTTTCTGCCAGATACAATCAAGTCATCTGTTAATACTTTTGGCAACCCAAGTATTCCCAGTTCATGACCTCAGGCTTTGCTTCCTCCTCTACAACATGTTTTGTAAAAATCGATCAACACACTTTTTTAAAGAAGAACTTACAGCGCCTAGCTTCTTTGGGCACAGCGGATAGCCACAGAGTCTGATGATGGCTCGCTCCTCCACCACGTCGCTGTAGTGGGCTGGCGTGATGAGCGCCCCCTGTGACAGAGAGAGGCATTCCCCATACATGAGCACCCTAGGAGCACAAGGACAGCATGCCAGGAACTGTGGGGCACACAGCAGCGTGTGGCGAGGTGGCTCAAGGGTAGGGGCCTGCTGCTGTGTCTGGGATATGCGATGGAGGGACACATGGGTCCCAGCCCTGACAGAGTCCTAAACCTCCCTGTGGTCCTCCACAAGCCAGGCCTCCATCCCCTGCACTGCTCCCAAAAACCTTCCAAGCTCCCACACAACACCCCACTGAGCTCTCAATGACTCTTCTACCCAGAGTTCCAAAGTCCTTCCGCAAGCCTCCCCCAAAATGGCTATGTCTGTCACAGCAGTACCCCACTATGGGGGTACCAACTTGTTTTAGGGTCACCACTGCTGTAAGCAAACAGGTGACCAAAAAGCAAATTAGGAAAATAAGGGTTTATTCTGCTTGCACTTCTTATCACTTCATCACCAAAGCAAGTCAGGACAGGAACTCACAAGGGGAGGAGCACGGCAGCAGGAGCTGAGGCAGAGGCCACGGAGGGTACTGCTCACTGGCTTGCTCAGCTGCTTTCTTATAGAACCAGGACACCAGCCCAGGGATGGCTCCACCCACAGTGGGCTGGGCCCTCCCCATCAATACTAATTGAGAAAATGCCTTCCAGCTGGATCTCATGGAGGCCTTTCCTCAGCTGAGGCTCCTTCCTCTGATGACTCTAGCTTGTGTGAAGCTCACCCACAAAACTCCAGTCCAGCACTCATACACATAAGTCTTTAAATACAGACGTTGTATTTTAATCTGGCACAACTTAATACATACACACTCCTTCAGGAATTCTTCTGTGATATTCTCTTCCAATAGCTGTTCAACGATGCGCACAGCCTTCCTTTCAAACTCTGCCTTCCTGCGCGCAGCTGCTTCCAGTTCCGCTTGCCTGGAATTTCAGAGAAAGTCAGAGCAGTTACAGACTTCTCCACTTCCACCACTTCACGCTCTAAACGCCAACACTAACCTATTACTTTGCCAGTAAAATTTAGTTTTTAACCCTGCCACTAAACTCCTCCTTCCCATGTGAATGTGGGTGCTGACCATACAGTCTACTTCCAGGCTCAGAGCACAAGGCACAGATGTCCTACAAAAAAAGGTGGGCTGAACAGGGCGTGGTGGGATATGTCTCCATCACAGCACTAGGGAAGAGTGGGAAGAGTCAGAGTTCAAGGCCCAGGGTGGACCACACCCTAAGAACCTGCATCTTAAACAACTGAATGTACTTCCTTTGCTTTATAGTTTTGCAGTATATTCTCAAAAAAAAAAAAAAAAAAAGAAAAAAAAAAGGCTTTTTTTTTTCTCTACTATGTAAATCAACAGACTGAAGAGTGAAAAGGTGACTTCTGTTTTTCTCACACACAACCTCTGTCAAGAGTTAAAGCTTGGGCGCTCAGCTCAGTAGATCAGTCCTGCCTGGGAAAACCCCAGCAGGTACTTACCTTTATTACAAAGGTTGGTAAGTAAGTACACTGATATGTGGCAGGTGGTCCCAGGTGGGACCCTGCCAGCCCTCTGCGAGCAGCGCCGCCCAGCTGCACAGCAGAGCGGGGAGAGGTTTTAGGACAGCAGGCCCTGGTCCCATTGGAGGTCGAGTAAACGGAGCAGATTGGCAGTGGAGAGCGGCTGCTGTGGCGCTCAGGGCATGCTGTCACGGGGACTCACCCGCTCTGCTCTGTGCTGGAACCCCCGGGACTACCTCTTGGTCACCCGTCTTACCCTTCCCTCACACCCGGAACCTACACCATTCTGTTCTTCACACCTTCATTAACTTTCAAGACTAGACTCCAGTTCTTTGCCTAGAGCAGCACGGGACTCCTCTAACCCCAATAACTTGGAAGTCTGGTACAGTTTTCCCGGCAATTCATTTTGCAAAACACATAATTAAAATGAGAATTTTGCAATTAAACACCTATTCTTACCCCACCATTTCATCAAGACCATTTTGTTGTTATTTGAGGTACTGGGGAGAGAACTCAGGGCCCTGGACATGCTAAACAAGCACTCTACCACGGAACTAAAAATCACTAACTCCATAAAGACCACTTTCATGTCAAAGAAATATAAAAGGTATGAAGACAGATTATAGTTCTTTATATTAAAAGCTTCATGAAAAATTATATATTTACTATGTATACAATGCTCTATCTGCATGTACACCTGCCACCAGAAGAGGGCACCACATCTCATTATAGATGGTTGTGCGCCAGCATGTGGTCCCTGGACATTCAACTCAGGACCTCTGGAAGAGCAGCCAGTGCTCTTAACCTCTGAGCCATCTCTCCAGCCCATGAAAAATTACTTTTCTCATCTGTACCCATCAGTAAAAGTCATGTCATAAACTAAGATTAACATACAACTTGTAGGCTCAAATTACCAGCCACACTGACCTGAGCCATTCTGTTCCTGACAGAAAACTACAGCTGCTTACTATGTTCTCTCAGTACTGTTCCTGTTACAAATGATGACCATCAATACAGTTGTTCTGGCAGTTTTATGTCAACTTCTCACAAGTGAAATTCACTGGAAAGGAGGGAACCTTACAAAAATTTCTGCATTTCAAGCTGCAGGCAAGCCTCTAAGACATCTTCATAACTAATGCCTGATGGGGGCAGGCCCGGCCCACTGTGGGTGCTGTTATCCCAGGGCTTGCGGGTCTGGGTACTGTGCAGGCTGGGCGAGACATGGGGAGCAAGCCAGAGCTGCATTCCTGCCTGGGTCTCTGCATTAGCTCCTGCCTCGGTGTCCCTGTCCTGACTTCCTTCAGCAATGAACAGTGCTGTGGAAGTATGCACCAAATAAAGCTTTTCTGCCCCAAGTTGCTCTGGTCATGGTGTTTCACTCCAGTAATGGGAACCAAGCAGGACAGTGGCGTATGGCACCTGCCTCGGCCTCTTGGTGCTGGGATTGAGGGTGTGCGCCACTGTGACTTATGGCTTCTTTAGAGGAGCTCTGCCTTGAAAAGCTCCATGTCACCTCCCTGACAACCCTATCTAAGTTATTAACTCCTTCTAACAACTCCAGTCTTTTTACTTACAGCACTTCCTGCAATGTATGTATTCAACTGTGTTAGTTTTGCTCACTGGTACTTCTCAGTTCCAATGAGCAAAAACTATTTGTTCAACAACACATTTTAAGGTCCTAAGTCAAATACAGACTATCCTGTATTTGGAAACTGTCTTGAAAGAAAAAAAAAAAAAAATCAATGAATCCTGAAGTGATGAGTCACAGCTGCTTTTAATCTCTTCAGGTGACCCCTGCCCTGGAAAGCTTCTGTGACAAGAGACTGACTTTTGCGAAGGTCCAAACAGTAAAGGATGATTTCTGTTTGTGTTTAAACTCACACTTTGTGTTGCTAAGAAAGGTCCCTTGGAATAGTAACCAGACAATGTTTCAGTGAGTGTGGCGCATGCCACAGTAAGTGTGCCTGCAGAGACAGAATGCTTGGTTAATTGAGAATGATGTTCCCACAGTGTGAGCCTCCAGTTTGCTTTCTTTCTTTCTTTTCACAGACAGGGTTTCTCTGTGTAGCCCTGGCTGTCCTGGATCTCACTCTGTAGACAGGCTGGCCTCCAACTCAAGGATCCACCTGCCTCTGCCTCCCAGGTGCTGGCATTAAAGGGCTGCGCTACAAGGCCGGGCCAGTCTGGTTTTCTTAAAGCTGGAGGGTGTGACAGTCTTAAGTGAGACCCGAAAGTGCTTCCTATGTCTCCTTGTAAGTATTGTCTGTCCTTGTTTTCATAGCATGGGGCTGGGACTACAGCGCAATATACCGTGCTTGCCTGGTATGTGTGAGTTTATCCTCAGATCCCAAAACCAGAAAACAGAACATGGAGAACAAAAAGTTGACTCAGTTACAATACACGAGGACAGTGGAAGGATACCTTCTGGACGCGCCTCCTCGTTTCAGGGCCCTTGTCTGTTTGGTACCTGCAGTTGAAGAGAAGAGAGTCAAACGCAAACATCTGATGTAGCAGAGTCCGGCCCAAATAACCCCAAACAGCACACTGTAGACATCTTTTCCTTTTCTCTCACACACTTCATTTCCAACTCCAAAGGGGGACGGTGCTAAACAGGTGGGGCATTCCATTGCTTCTGGAAAGGAATTCCACTTCAACTTTTCTTGACCACAAAGTTGGGGATCGGCCCTTCTCATATATCGTATGTGCCTTAATCAAGTGCTTCTGAAAGCCCTCTAGACTGGATAGACATTTCTCCGGCTCCCGAACCCGGAGACCGGCTCAAGGCAGCGCGGGAAGTGCAGACCGAGGCTCACGGCAGTGACCGACACCGGGGTCCCAGCACAGCGAGGCCGGCGGAGCCCCCGAAACACCTAAGAGTGGGGGAATCTTCCCGAAGGCAGCGGCGCAGCGGAGGGGCGCGCCGGGCCTTGGCCGCGCGGAGCCCCGTTTCCCCGGCGCAGCCTCGGGAAGCGCCCCGCGCGTGCGCAGTGCTCCAACCAAGCTCTCGGCCCACCCCGGGGTAGGGGCTCTCGCTGGTACCTGCAGCGTCTCGGTAGGTACTGGAAGCCAGGGCACTTGGGCCCAAAGAGCAAGGAAGCACGGAGTCAGCCATGGGAAACGCCGTCAGAAGCGAGGGAAGGGTGTGCGCAGCGCCGCGAGGCTCGGCCTCCCCACACGTCGCCCGGACCGGGCTGTGGGCGGGCCTCGGGAGGGCGGGGCGGGCGCCGGAGGGGGCGGGGCGGGCCTCGGGAGGGCGGGGCGGGCGCCGGAGGGGGCGGGGCGGGCCTCGGGAGGGCGGGGCGGAAGCCGGAGGGGGCGGGGCGGGCCTCGGGAGGGCGGAGCAGGCGCCGGAGGGGGCGGGGCGGGCCTCGGGAGGGCGGGGCGGAAGCCGGGGGAGGCGGGTCCAGGCTGGGGGCGGGGTCAGGAGTGCGGCCTGCGCTGGCCGTGGCGGCGGCGGCGTCGGCGTCGGCGGAGGAGGAGGCGCGCGGTCGGGCGGGTAGGTGGCTGTGCCGGGTCGGGGTGGACCGGGCTCGCCGCACATGACCGGGGCCGCGCGCGGCTCGCCTGCTAGGCCCCTCGAGGTGCTGGAGCCTGGGCGCTGTGCGCAGCAGGAACAGGGAGGCCGGGAGACATGGCTAACCATGGGCGCGGTAGGGTGTGATTTTCCTGTGCGCGCCTGCGAGGCCAGGACCACGGCCGGCCTGTCTCGGTGAGGTTCGGTGAGCTCAATGCCGAGGACTGGTGACTTTGGGGAGGGCAGGTCCTGTGGAGAACGGGGCGCAGGGCGTCCGAATCTTCAGTTTCCTTAGGTGACTTAATTGTGTTGAATTCCAGTTTTTGTCAGTGGGCCATTAAAAAATTTCCCTAATGATTAGAATTCTCATTCCAGGTCCACGGTTTGGATTTTGTTGTTGTTGTTGTTTCTTTCATGAAAGGATTACTTTCTCCTTCTGAAAAAAGGCTCTTTGAGGAGTTTTAGGAGTTCTCTCTAGGGTTCTTTTTCTTTTTTCACTCGTCATTTTTTTGAAATTATGCTCTTTAGGCGAAACAGTAAGGCTTTAAAAAAAACGCTTTAAGAGAATATATTGCACACTAACATTCAATAATAGCAATTAAGCTACAAAAATTTACATTGTGCTTTCTAATTCAGAATGAAACAGTTTATGAAACAATTTATATAATGTCACACAACTGTTTTCTATTCATTTCAGCATCAAAACTAGGGAAAGTCCTTAGGAATGGCTGCCGAGGAACTTCAGTGCATAATAAAAAGATGTGTAAGTCACTCTCTGAAAACTTTAAAATGGGGGGGGGGCACAGGTTATCTGTACTTCGTGGTCATTCATGTAGTTTATCTAATTCCTCCTTTTCCTCCTTCTTTTAACTTGTAAGTAAATAGCAGAAAATCAGAAAAGTAGATTGGATTCCCTTCTTGATTTATGGCCTTTAATCCCAGTACTTGGAGGCAAAAGCAGGGGGTGTTCTGAGTTTGAGGCTGGCCTGGTGTACACAGTGATTTCCAGGACAGCCAGGGCTGTGTAGAGAGACCCTGTCTCAAAAAAGGGGTGGGAGAGGGGGCTAGAGAGATGGCTCTGTGGTAGAGAGCACTTGTTATTCTTGCAGAGGACCTGCTTGGTTCATTTCTCAACACCCATACGTGTAAGTAAACCTTCATACATATAAAATAAATCTTAATAAGTTCTGTATTTAAACACGTTTTCTTTTTAGCTGTGAAGGCAGAGGTGTTGAGTCCTCCTGGAGCTGGGGTTATAGGTGGTTGTGAGCTATCCACCTGACCTGGGTGTTGGGAATTGAACTCAGATCCTCTAAAAGAGCAGTATTTGCTCTTATCTGCTAAGCCATTTCCCTAGCTCCAGTGGCCTTTCATATGAAAGCTATGATTATTTTCCCAAGTTTCTCTGGTGCAGTAGGCTCAAGATCATTCACTGAGCCACACTGACTCATGCTTATAGCCAGAGGCTGGGACAAGAGGATCTCAAGTTTCCAGGTCGGCGTGAGTGTCGTCATGAAAGCCTGTCTCAAAAGTCAAAATGAGTAAAGCCAATCAGTAAAATATTTATTAGGATAATTCTAATTTTCATTTATATATCATGTCCACTTTCTCTAGAATTTAATATTTCCCTTTTTTCCTAGAGAGATAAAATCAGGAAGTCATTTATATTGAATTTATATTTACATCTATAAGTGTTTTGGCTTGTTTACAGCAAATCCTAGAAGAGCATGATTTCAAAGAAGAAGATTTTGGCCTCTTTCAGCTGGCAGGCCAAAGATGTATTGAAGATGGGCATGCAAACCAGCTGCTAGAAATTATTCAAGACGAAAAGAACAAGGTAAGAACAAGGCGTGTGTATGCTTTGCAGGTTTTACTTGGGAAGGGACTAATAATACTGTTGTTCCTCGTTTAGCCATCTTCTTGGTTACTTTTGTAGTGCTGTGATAAGAAACCATGAGGTAGACTTTCTTCCAGAAGCATGAAAGGGCCGTAGAGTGTTGGCCCCAGGTCACAGTGAAGCTTAGAAACTGGTTCTGGTAGCAGGGAAGGAGGCGGCAATGGCAGGAGGGAAGGCCGGGGAGCAAAGGGTGCCTTCCCTTCCTATCTGTGCTTCCGCCACACCAGCCAAAGCACCCGGGACACTGCTTCCTGGGAGGCACCCTGTGGAGGTTAAAACCAACCGAAATATACTTTCAGGGGCTCCAATATAGTCAGTTTTCTGGGGTTTTGTTTTTGAGGCAGTCTTTAGCTCATGCTTTCCTGGAGTTCATAAAGTCACTGTGTGTTTTTTGTTGGTTGTTTTGGTGTGTGCGTGCACACGTGTGTGTGTGTCATGGGCATGTCTGTGTGTTTTGCAGGCGCTTGTCAAGACAGAGCTCAACAGTGAGTGTCTTTCTCAGTCACTTCCCAATTTTGGATTGGGTCTTGTTGAGCCTGGAGCTCACAGATTCTTCTATGGTTTTTTGGCCAGCAGTCCAGGGATCTGCCTGTTTCTGTGTTTTTAGGTTTCTTGATTTTTTCCCCCCATTGCATTATCAAAGGATAATTTGACAATACTGTTAGTTGCTGTCAATGCTAAAATTAATTACTAATATTTAAGTTTATGGGAGCTGCTCTCCGTATGTTACGTCATTCAGCCTCTCCAGTTTCTCAGAAGACAGGCACCTGTAGCTGTAATACCTACAATTCTAAGCAACTTGAGAGGCTGAGATGGGAAAGTACTTGAACACACAAGTTCAGAACTACCTGGGCAATGAGATGGGACTCTTATTTCAGAGGAGAAAATAAACAGCCACTTTATAGAGAAGAGGCAGTCACTGACAGGCATCCAGAATCCAGACTTTTGGCACTCTTGCCTACTGTGGTGGTTCTGTAGTCCAGGCTGGCCTGACCCGCCATGGAGTAGAGGATGACCTTGAACTCATCCTCCTCCTTCCACCTGGGATTACCAGGTGGCCCTGCATCTGCTTTCTGTGGTGCTGAGCCTAGAGCTTTGTGCATGCTGGGCACTACACCATGCGCCTGGACTGACTGAAACTCGGGGTGGAATAAAAGGGGCCTTGGCTGTGAGGAAGGGGCAGAAAGGCTCACTGCTGTTCTGGTTTGGTTGTTTTGTTGTTTGCATCTGCAGTACAGAATTTGTTCTCCTCAACAAACTAGCACCCTAACTTGAAGACGAAGGCAAGGGAGCTGACTGAGAAATTTTGTCTTTTAAGACACAGCAGGCAACTAGAAAGATAAGATTTTGATGTCAGTATAGAAACAGGAAATTCAGACCTAGATTTGTATGTGACTCTTCAAAGTTAGGTAGTTACGGCATAAAGGGGAGATTTTGAGTTTACGAGAAGAGGCAGAAAGAGGCCAAGGATCTCCTCTTTCACAAACCTTTGTGAGTATTGTATACACGTGTGTGCTTGTCCATGTTCGTAGGTGTGAATGTGGGCACAGGCATGCCATGCTGCATATGTAGAGGTCAGAGATGGCAGCGTCTCTTTGTTGTTGCTGCCATGTATGCTGGGCACCCTGCACGCCCAGCTCTCACTCGGGCTCTGGGGATGAGGGATCCATGTGCTTCTTCTGTTCTGAGGACTGTGCCCACTGAGCCATCTCCTCAGCCCTCAGCGTGAGGAACTGAAGGAGCAGGCAGCTGAGACTACACCTGTCCAGTGAGCTTCAGCACTGCGTCTGTGAGGCAGAGGAGGGAGGACAGCATGACACAAGCATGACACACTGGTCTGTAGTATTCCGTGGCTCTGTGGGGCATTTTTAGTATGTTTCTCAATAGCCCACGGGATGAATTAAAAGGCGTAGGCTTAATACCCTGAAAATCACCTTTGCGCTACATGATCTGATAACTACAGGGTT